AAATGAACATAGAGTTCTACTTAATCATAAATCACGTTAGTCCCTAACTAGAGAGTTGCTTGTCCTGATCAGCCAAGTACTGATGTCTCTCTAGCCACAATATCGTAGCTGCTTTGTCTCCATTAAGAATCAGTTGTTCAGTGTGGCCACTGTCATCAGTTACATTCGCTGATCTGGGTAATTCACTACAGCTTCTGCATTAGCACCTGCAGCTTCATCTTACATTTTCTTTCTGTGGAGACATTGCTTTCCTTAAACTGAAAGAACAAACCTCTGCCAACTTAAAAGAACGCTGTGGCTGTCTTGATACTGTGTGCAACCCTCTAACCACCTCCATGTCAGCTCTAGCTGTTTGGCTTTCTTGGTATTCATGTATTCTCAGAGTAGCACTTTTAATTCCCTTTAAGAACTTGTCTTTTGCATTCACAATATGGCTTACTACTTAGTCTAAGAGATCCTGGATTTTGGCCTGTCTCAGTTTTCAATATGCCTTTCTAACAAAGCTTGATAATTTCTAGCTTTTGATTTAAAGTGAGGATGTGTTACATTTCCTTTTACTTGTGTACTTAGAGACCACTGTGGGGTTAATTGGCTTAATTCAGTATTATGTTCTCAGGGTGGCCAAGAAGAGGGAGAGATGGGAGAACATGTCCGTGAGGCATCAGCGTGTGCACAGCATTTACGATTAGATTCACCCTCTCATTTGGGTGTGGCTCCTCTCATCCACACACAGTTGTAAGTGACCACATGTCACCAAAATGTAGTGAATCAATCAGACATAATGCTGGTGGAAACATCTGTAATGGTTTAAGAATTACCAGAATGCAGCACAGGGACAGGAGTGAGCACATGCTGTTGGAAAAGTGACAACAGCAGTCTTGCTTGGTTCAGGGTTGCAACAAATGTTTTGTTTGTCAAAAAAAAGGAAAACAACTAAGCCCCAAACCAAAACAAATTTAAGAAAATCTAACATAATTACAAGGAAAGTGACCTATCTGTAGAGGGCAATGGGCTGCCCATATTAACATCAGACCCACAGCCCTGTGAGTGGAATGCTTCCCGGGAGAAGGAGGGCACTCCGTCATAATCATGACTCCCTGTGCACGTGGTGATAAGGCTTCAAAGTTCACGACACCAGAATTGCCAGGGCTGGAGGAGGAAGATAAAAGACAGTAGAGCTGGAGATTTTAGCACTCCTCTGTCAGTAATTAATGGAACAAATAAGAGAAGTCAGTAAGGGTAGAGGAGGACCCAAACAACACTTCAACCAGTGTGACCCAGTTTGGCCCATTCACATTTATGAAACACTGCCCTTGGCATAATAGAATGCACGCTCTTTCCAAGGTATTTTCCAAATATTTCAGTGAATATTTGGCAAGATAGACGTTATCATAAGTTATAAAATTCTCTTAGTAAGTGGGAAAGGGTTGGAATCATACATAACATGTTCTTGACTGTAAATTAACTAGAAATCAGTAGTAAAATACAAATTAAAAACTCCAAATACAATGCAAATTAAACCCTTTTTGGGTAAGTGGGGCAGTGCTAGAGTTTATACTCTGGGCTTCACACTTCACTTCGTGTTGTTTGTTTGTTTGTGCTCACAGCTGACTCTCTACCACTAGAGCAAAGCCTTTAGTACTAGCTTTTTGCTGGTTAATTAGATAGATTCTCACAGATTTGCCTACCCCCAGCTGCCTTCACACCACAGTCCTCAGATAACAGTCTCCAGAGTGGTGTGAATAACCAGTACCCAGCTCTAACATACTTTTAAATAAATCATATATCAAAGAAGAAGTCGCAGAGAAGACAAGAAGTTTTTTTGGGGGGGGTTGGGGGGGTCCGGTCGTGGGGCCTGAACTCTGGGCCTGGGCGCTGTCCCTCAGCTCTTCAGCTCAAGGCTAGCACTCTACCACTTGAGCCACAGCACCACTTCCAGCTTTTTTCTTTTTGCTTATGTGGTGCTGAGGAATCGAACCCAGGGCCTCAGGCATGCAAGGCAAGCGCTCTACCACGGAGCCACCTTCCCAGCCCGACAAGAAGTATTTTAAATGAATTACAATGTAAGTGTATTTTATGTGTAGTATACCTATATTAGAAAACAAGTAAAAACCAGATGCAATAACTCATGCCTGTAATCCTAGCTACTCAGAGGCTGGGGTTGGGAGAATGGCAGTTTGAGGACAGCCCAGACATGGGACCACACCTCTACCAGTAAAACTGGATGTGCTGGCTTGTGCCTGTCATTCTTGCTACATAGGGAATTGTCATTAGGATGATTGCTTTCTAGGCCTGTTTGGCTTAGGGTGGAGTAGTATTTTTTTAAAAAAGTAGTATTTAAAAAAGATGAAAGCAAAAAGGGATAGGGGTGTGGCTCAGTGGAGATTTGTCTAGCAAGTGCAAGGCCTTGGTTCAAGCTTGAGTACCATCAAAAATAAGTAACAAAGGAGGAGGTGACAGGTACACAATGATGAAGACGTTTTCTGCTGTTTGCTGTGCACCAGAACCCGTTGGTGTTAAAGTCCCTGTGGCTCCATGGCCAGCTGAGGCCCCTAGGACTACAGCCCTGAAGCAGGCAGTGCCTGCTGGTGTGGCAGCTCAGCAGCACGCAGTGCCTGCTAATGTTGGCATTTCTGGTTCTCAGAGTGAATGCAAAGAGCTTTATTCAGGCTGGGCACTCATGGCTCACGCCTGTAATCCTGGCTACTCAGGAGGCTGAGACTCAGAGTTGAAAAGCCAGCCCGGGCAGGAAAATCCATGAGACTCTTATCTCTAATAAACTACCAGAAAACTGGCAGTGGCACTGTCGCTCTGCTTTGAGCAGAACAACTCAGGGACAGTGCTCAAGGCCCAGAGTTCAAGCCCCATTACCAACAACAACAACAAAAAAGAGCTTTATTTAGAAGAGAAGTATCTTGGTCAAAGGCTGTGGCTGCACTGTGCCCAGATACCCAAGTCTACCCTTATTGTTACGAGGTCTAGAAAGTCACTTTTTAATTCCTCAGCTCCTGGGACATATGATTGGTTGTTAATTCCCAATCTAGTTCCATCTACAAATACTTTCCCCTTTGGGTCATGAGAAGGCTATCTGATCTTGAGGAATTAGAAGGGGCTGGGGAGAGGCAGAGACAAGTTGTATTGTTTCCTGTTGAAAATATATCCTGTTTGTTTGGAAACAATGTTGCCTCTCTTTTTTCTTTCTTTCTTTTTTTTTTTTTTTTTTGGTGCTGATCTTGGTGAGGTTCTGGGTCCTTGTGTACAGAGGGTTGGTGCGCTCATGTGTCCTGGGTCCTGAGTGCAGTGGGTTGGTGTGCTCATGTGTCCTGGGTCCTGTGTACAGTGGGTTGGTGTGCTCATGTGTCCTGGGTTCTTGTGTGCAGTGGGTTGGTGCGCTCATGTGTCCTGGGTCCTGTGTGCAGTGGGTAGGTGCGCTCATGTGTCCTGGATCCTGTGTACAGTGGGTTGGTGTGCTCATGTGTCCTGGGTCCTGTGTACAGAGGGTTGGTGTGCTCATGTGTCCTGGGTCGTGTGTACAGTGGGTTGGTGCGCTCATGTGTCCTGGGTCCTGTGTACAGTGGGTTGGGTTGGTGTGCTCATGTGTCCTGGGTCCTTGTGTACAGTGGGTTGGTGTGCTCATGTGTCCTGGGTCCTGTGTACAGTGGGTTGGTGTGCTCATGTGTCCTGGGTCCTGTGTACAGTGGGTTGGTGTGCTCATGTGTCCTGGGTCCTGTGTACAGTGGGTTGGTGCGCTCATGTGTCCGGGTCCTGTGTACAGTGGGTTGGTGCGCTCATGTGTCCTGGGTCCTGTGTGCAGTGGGTTGGTGCGCTCATGTGTCCTGGGTCCTGTGTACAGTGGGTTGGTGCGCTCATGTGTCCTGGGTCCTGTGTACAGTGGGTTGGTGTGCTCATGTGTCCTAGGTCCCTGCACACAGTGTGGCTGTGCTTCTTGCCCTCAAGTCCTTCTGCTGTTATACTCCAGGGAACGCTAAGAAAAATTTCTAACCAGGACTCATGATCCCATTAGCTCTGCTTGTGTTTAAGAAATTTCCAGAATGATAGAATACAGGATGGCAGGAAGTAGGCATGGGATCTGACTCTGCAAGGTCTTAGCCAATCAGGAGTGGTCTACCAGGCCCTAGGGCACAGAGGACATGGCCTCCACACCCAGGGCACAGAGGACATGTCTTCCACATCCAGGCTGCTGGAGGAGGGTTGAGGGTTGTCCACCCCCAAACCATGCTAGCTGAGGCTCTGCTGCGCAGAGTGATGTTCTGCAGTCTCCTAGAAGGAGCAACGCTAGGAAAGAAGGGCCAGCCCCTCCATACATCAGGTGAGCATGGCGGATCGCAGCCATGGAAGACTGAATGTCTCCAGCGGGCCCCATGTGGGAAGGGAGTTTCCTGTCCTGGTGCTTGGGTCCTAGGTTATGGGGCACATGCCCTGGAAGGGGGAGAGAACTCTGACCCCTTCATCTCTCTTACCTCCCAGCCACGGCGTGAATGGTTTTGCTTTACTGTGCATACCCTGTTATGGTATGTGCACCCTCCAGCAGTAGCCCACCAAAGCCTTCAAAGCTACCTTCAAAATAAATCTTTCTTACGTACTATCTTGTTATCTCAGGTATTCTGTCACAGTTACAGAAAGCTAACGCCAGGGGTATCTGAGGATGGAGACCCTGAGTCTTTGTGGGAAGGGCAGAACGGAGTCCCTGTGATGTGGCCGCTCTCAGGTGCTGCTCTGGGCTTGCTGTCACTCCTTGCAGCAGCCCCTCCCTGAGCTGAGCTTGCAGTGAGCAAACATAATCAACCTTTATGACGACCACTGGCTTCTGAAACCTCAGCACATTTGTCCCGTGAGTCATCCCTCTTCTCTGGCCCTGCCCCTACCTCACAGCCATGACACTGCAGCACTTAGAGAATGTTTTCCCTCTCCATTTGTACCTGTGTTCTCCACCTCAGTTGTCAGGAAAGGTACAAGGACAATCTCCCGTGTTTGTCAGGAACAGATAGCTTTATTCAAATACGAAGAGATCAGTAACATGAAAATGCCATTTCCAAAACTGCCTCTCTGTTATTTCTCACATGGTTGCCCCCATTGAATTCCAGGAGAAGCCCAGCGGTGGCAGCCATCCTGGGAGCAGGTGCAGGAGCAGTAGGGCTGAGGTATCTGATAACCACATGGGCCCACCGGGTGCCTTCCTGCCCTGCACTGGTGTGTATACTCTCTGCAACAAAGGCAGCCTCCCAGAACAGTAATAAATTACAAGGGACATAATTTAGGGCAGACCTGTGAGCCTTGGGAATCAATCTGTCTGCGGAAGGGGCCTGTTCACCACGGTCCCCTGCTTGCCACAGAGGGCCTCAGTGCAAGCCTAGCCTGAGGATAATGTAAAACCAGCCATGTCGCTGGCCTCCTAGGAGCCCTTTGTGACCAGACCTGAGCCCAGAGATCTGGGTTTAGACGCAGTTGTCGGGGGCACACTCAGCCTCTTCTTCAAGCTCAGGGCAGGGGGTCCCATTGTTGGCAGGCTGGACACGGACATAGCGAGTTCTGCTCTTGGTTCCCACCTTCCCACATGGACCTCTGCACAGCCCCCAGGATGACCACAGGGAAAACTCGCAATCCAGTGGTGTTTCTGGGCCTGGAAAGCACAGAGGAGACCCGACACGTGAGCACTGGAGTAAGGAGGCATGGAGGAGATGGTAGGGCTGTCCACCCCTGCAGACATTTCCTTCTGCAGGTGGGAAGGAACATATGCTATCTCAGTAGTCTGTGCAGTGGCTATAAGCTACAGTCTCTGGAAACACCCCAGTGAACTTTTGTGTTCTTTCTAGTGGTGTCCTGGGGTTTGGCAAATGAGCTCTCCCTGCCGTGTAGCCCTGTGAGGCTGGGGCCTTGCTAGTCTCCGCAGCTGTGGCTCCACCCTCTGGCTACACAACCCACAGAAGGCCTATGGCCTCCAATAGCCTTTTGAGTTAAAGGACCTTATCCTGCTCAAGCCACACCTCCAGTCTAACATTCTGTTGATTCATTGGAGACAGATGTTTCAGATTTGTCTGCCTAGGCTGGCTTCAAATCTCAGTCCTCAGACCTCAGCCTCCTGAATAGCTAGGATGACAGGCACAAGATCTCCACTCTAGTGGGAAGCCTGGACATACCTGAGAGGCTGTCAGCAATCTCATTGCCCCTGCTGGCCAGGTCTAGGGCAGGTGGAACAAAGGCCCTGGGGCTCTGCCTAAGCCGCACCAGGGTCACTCTGGCAATAGGAGGCAGAGACTTCAGCCGTGGATAGTAGAACGAGTTTGCCGGGTGGCTGGGAGAAGAGGATGTTATCTGAGTGGAGGAAGAAAGGGGAATTGGCAAGCAGCCTGCGAAGCCACCTCTGGGTGTATGGCCCTCCTGGGCAAGATCAGGGCAGTGCTAGAAAACACCTCAACCCCACCACAGTGTCACGCACATGCAGCAATCCAAATGTGTGTGGTAGCCTCTTCCTGGGCCCTGGGCAGGGGCTGGCCAGGGAGGCCACACAGAGCACCACAGAAATGCTCAGATGACCACATCTGTGCACTCATGAGCCAGGCAGGGTGCATGCAGGCCTCACAGCAGACAAAGTAGGGCCTTGGAAACAGACTGGGAGGAAGTAATCTGCTAGATGTCACATTCTGCTGATCCCCATATTGCTGCCAACACCCAAGGTAGGCGTGCAGCCCCCTGTGCACTGCAGGTACCAGAAACAGGGCCTCTCTCCAGAAACTAGCCAAAGATTGGGGTCTCCAGGACCCTTCCCAGGCAAGTGTAGGCCTCACCGTGTCCTCTGACAAGGCCCTCACACCCAGGCCAGTGCGAGTGTACACACACACACACACACACACACACACGTACACACACACACACATGTACACACGCACGCATACACATGCACACACACACACACACCCCGACCACCATACTTGGTGCCAAGCACTCCGCACAGCACAGAGCAATGGGACAGGGGCCTGTGGACCACTCACCTCAGTCACTGTGTCCTGTGGGATGGTTGCAAAGTTGGGGGAGGAGAAGGTGAAGCCACTGTCCGTCCCTGCGTCGTGGGGGTAAAGGTCCAGGGCTACCTGCTCCTTCCACCGTCCCCCCTCACACAGGTCTATGCTGTCAACACCGACAAACCAGTCAGGGCTGGGGACGATGCGCACTATGAAGGACACCTGTGTGTGGTTAGAAGGCTCAGCTTGTGGGAAAGTCACAGAGACACCCCTGAACACACACACTGCAGTGTACAACTTACCAGGGCAGGAAGTCACAGGGATCCCGCAGAGTGCACACGCGCACACACACACACACACACGCACACACACTGCAGTATACAGCTTACCAGTGAGTGCCTAGGCTCCACTTCCAGCTCTGCAGAGGTCTGCCCGGTACCCGTGGGGACGGCCGGGGCTGAGAACACTGCGTGTACACTCTGGAGCTTCTCTCCTGCAGCCTCAATCTCCTTCATCAGGGCCCAGGCCTCACCGCGCTCTGCAAAGTCCCTCAGCCCATTGCTGACATACTCGTTCTTCCTCCACATGCTGTAGTCAGAGCTGTGAGCTGCCCCTGTGTGGACAGCCTGCTGTGTGATAGCCAGCTGGTACTAGAAAATCAGCCCTTAGCTCCAATCCCAGCTGGCCCCCTGGGGACACTATGTCCCTCCTTTCCTGCGCATCAGCTCCTTGGTGGAGAGGCAGGGAGCTGTGTCTACTCCTTTCACATGTGGACAGTATCATGTCACATCTACACAGGCCAGAACACCTAGCTAGGTGACCAGTGTCCAGCCAGTCTTCTGCATGATTGTGGTCACTCTGCCCTGCTGGCACACAGAGGTGTCCAGCAAGTATCTCACGAATTAGTCTTGTCCAGGGAGAGCAACACAAACTGAAGAGCCTCACATCTGCCAGGACTCCATTTCCCCTAACTGTAGCCCTCCCACATGGGGGAAGGTCACTCTGAACAAACTGAATGAATGGGCTAAGGTGGGGAGAAGCTGCCCTTACCCAGCAGGGAGGACCACTGCGCAGGGGGTCGGAACAGGGGGTACTGTTTGGGGAAGGCTGTCTGGCTCCACTTCCCGGAGAAGGTGATGCTGTACTTGGCCAGAGGGCGGGCTGTGCAGACTGATTCTCCCCCCAGTGGCTGGCCTGCGGTGGAGCCCAGGGTAGCCAAGAGCAGGGCCCAGAGAGCACTGCCTGGGGCAGCCATGGTGCTCAGGTTTTCCATCACCTACAGCAGAGGAAGAGCAGCGCCAGTGCCAGCACCCTTAGCCCCCAGATTCCCCAGCCCACACGGTCCAGAAAAAGGCCTCAGAGGCTCCGAGGAGGTGAGGGGCCCGTGCCTCGCTAAGCTCTCCTGTTGAGGTCTTGCTAGGCAGTGGGGAGGCCTAGCTCCCTGCGGCTCCCACCACCCACCCTCACACACCAGGACTGGCAGGGGACATGTTGCACTACCATACCCAGCACCAGCCCAGCAAAGCACAGGATGGGGGATACTGTTTGGAGAAGTCCATCTGGCCAGTGCCTGAGGTGGGTCTCGGGTTCTGGCCCTGGGGAAGTTCCAGGAGACTCAGGCCCTCTTGGGGTCTGCTGTGTGCCAGGTGCACACAGGAAGGTACTCACCAGGCAGAAGGCAGGAGGTGGACTGTAGAGCTGGAGGGGTGGCTGGTCCAGAGCTCCTGTTTATGCCTAGTGTCAGTGCCTCTCGCCCAGCTGCCCCCTGTGCACAGTGTCCCACCGCCTGCCTCAGTGGCAGCTAGGGCACGGGACAAGGCTCACAGGGGCCGCTTTCCCTGCAGGGAAGCCCGGAGGAGCTATGATCTCTACCTCCCCACAGGGCTGACTGAGCTCACTCCCCGCCCCTCAGCCAGGCTGCCACACCCCTCTCTTTGTCTCTCCTTCTCCCTCCCTCCCTTCTTCCACCCTCCTCCTCCCTCCCCTAACCAGCCTCTCTCCAGCAGTGGATGCTGTGAGGAGTTCTGTACTCAAAGATAGGAGCCCAGGACCAGGGGCTGCAGAATCCAGTTTGTTGCAGGTGTGTCCTGAAGGGCTCCATTCTCTACCTGACATGAGGTGTGGGAAGTGGGCTGGGGAGGCCCAGGGTTTCAACCACAGAATCCCAGGCCTCTGTGGTGCTGAGTTTCATCCAAACACAGTGGTCTCTTTCCCCCTAAAACTTGAGGGAGTACTGGCCAGCCAGCCTCTGGGGTGAGGCCCTCCTAGAGGGCATCTGCACTAGGCCACAGGTGCCCAGGGGTCAGACCCGACCCGCCGAAGGGCACCACCTCCACAGGACCCTTCACTGTTTGGCTTGTCCTCTGAGTGGGGCTCCATACCATTCCCCCTCCTTGGACAAGCTAATAGATTCTGAAGTTTATTGCTATGCAATGTCAGGAAAAATATTTACAGAACCCCAGTCATGGGGTCTAGGAACTGCAGAGGACCAGAGAGAAATCTTGCTCAATCCTAAACAGCTGTCTCTGCTCACCAGAAAAATCTAGGGAGCTTTTAAGTTTAAACAAAATGCATTCCAGTTTTTATAACATTGTTAATGTTTCACATTTTCAGAGAGTGGGGAGAGAGAGAGAGAGGAGAAGGGAGGCACAAAGAGAGAGGGAAGGAGGGAGAATAAATAGACTCTACAAGCATAGACTGCAAACACAAACAAATGATCTAACCTGTATTCAAATAAATAACACAGTCGCAGAGTGGTAAATGAGCACAGTATTTAGTCGCCAGGCCCTGGGGCCAAAAGCAAATTCTACCCCAGCACTTTTCAAGCTTCCGACCTCAGAGACTGCCTTCCACTTAAAAGTCACTGAGGACTCCAGAGAGCTTTTGCTCATGTAGGTCATCTCCACGGATGCCTATTACAGCAGGTGCTCAGAATGTGCAAACTATATTTCATACTAACACAAGTGGCATAGCAGTTGTTTTTTCAAAATAATAACCTTAGAACTGTGTTGTACATGTATGCAAATCTTATTAGCTGGCTTAACAGAAGAGAGCTGAACTTGAGCACATGCTTCTGCAGTTAATCCGATAAAACATTTGGTAGCGTCCGTGACAGATGTACAGCTCCGCATGGGTATGGAGAAGGCTTCCTTCCATTTTTGTCGGATACTGCTGGCTACCACAAACAACTTCTGAACACACTCTGTGGTCTTAGGGAATGGTTTGTGACCTTGCCTACCCTGGTGGGTCTCTTGCTCCCCTCAAACGCTAATGTAGGAATTGGGAGGTCCCTTTCCTGCAAAGCAGAGGGCTAGAGCTCTGTAACCCCTGCAGGACTGGGTCTCAGGAGCCAGGCTTATCAGTGTGGCCATGAGTTCCAAAGGAGGGATTGTGGGCCAGGGTGAGCCTGGTGTCGTGGGGTGCCCTGCGGGCTCCTGCCTTCCTGGCAGCAGGGTGAGTGAGGTCACATAGCCCTCTTCCTGGTCCGTCCTGTGTGTGTGAGGACACATAGCTCTCTTTCTGGTCCATCCTGTGTGTGTGAGGACACATAGCTCTCTTCCTGGTCCATCCTGTGAGTGTGAGGTCACATAGCCCTCTTCCTAGTCCATCCTGTGTGTGTGAGGACACATAGCCATCTTCCTGGTCTGTCCTGTGAGTGTGAGGACACATAGCTCTCTTCCTGGTCCGTCCTGTGAGTGTGAGGACACATAGCTCTCTTCCTGGTCCATCCTGTGAGTGTGAGGACACATAGCTCTCTTCCTGGTCCGTCCTGTGTGTGTGAGGTCACATAGCCTCTCTTCCTGGTCCATCCTGTGAGTGTGAGGTCACATAGCTCTCTTCCTGGTCCATCCTGTGTGTGTGAGGACACATAGCCCTCTTCCTGGTCCATCCTATGTGTGTGAGGACACATAGCTCTCTTCCTGGTCCATCCTGTGTGTGTGAGGTCACATAGCTCTCTTTCTGGTCCGTCCTGTGTGTGTGAGGACACATAGCCCTCTTCCTAGTCCATCCTGTGAGTGTGAGGTCACATAGCTCTCTTCCTGGTCTGTCCTGTGTGTGTGAGGACACATAGCTCTCTTCCTGGTCCATCCTGTGTGTGAGAGGACACATAGCTCTCTTCCTAGTGCGTCCTGTGTGTGTGAGGACACATAGCCTCTCTTCCTAGTGCGTCCTGTGTGTGTGAGGACATTTAGCCCTCTTCCTAGTCCATCCTGTGTGTGTGAGGAGCAACACACACCTGCATCAGTAAGTGTGCCTGGCTCCTTCTCTACCAAAAGGAACCGAGGCTTCCTGGAGAAAAGGCTGATTCTTGGTTTGGAGAGAAGTGAGCCTAGAACATTCCTCAAGCCAGGAGAAGCTGTAGCTAGTCCAGCTTCTTCCTGTTCCTAGTGGCCACAGGAGGCTCTTCTCTCAGGCCCACCACAGGAAGCTGTGCAGCCAAGAACTCAACCAGGATGCACAGCGGTGGGGCCTGAAGCCCAGGGGAATAAGCGCCCATCAGTGGTAGGAGTGTCCTCCAAAGAAGCATGTCCTCGGGGGCCCAGGGAAGCTCAGAGACAGATGGGCTTAATTTGGGGGCCTTTGGATGCTTTGGTTGTGGGGTAGGCTGGAGTTTCAGGCAGAGCAGTTCTGTGCCGAGGCAAGGAGTGCTTTTTTGAATTTGGTGGGTACCCATCTGATCCTCTGGCTCTTCTGTCTCCCACTAGGATCACAGTACAGCGTCCCCACAAATAAAAAGATTCCTCTCTGCACACAGCACAAATTCATTCTCTAAACAGGTGCTGAGCCTCTCTAGAGATAGAGACACTGAAGTCACCCCAGTGGCCTGAGGCATCCCCAGAGCCTGTGTCCCGTCAACTAGGTTCTCTACTCCAGTGAGTGTTTTGTTAATTGCCAGGCCTCTGGGCTCCAGGCCTTTCTGGAGGTCACTCTGGCTCTGGACCAAGAGAGTTTCCCAGGAAGCTTGGGATGAGCTGAAACTATGGGCTGTGTGTCTTTGGGGCCAACACTGGGATCTTTCTATGCCAGACCCAGGACTGTCTGTCCCTAGAGTAGCCTCAGGGCCATACCTTTTCCCTGCGGTAGCCCAGGTTGGTGTACAGTGTGAGTAATTAATGGACCAACACTCCCAGGGCGTTGTCCATTTTCAAGAGGTGTCTGTTAACTCACAAGTTGCTAACACAGACTGTTTGGAAACCCTTAAAGTGTTCTTAAATGCCCTTTGCCAGTAGGTGTGGAGGCTGAGGTTGTGCTGCTCTATTGGATCTGTGTGAATGGGTGTGGGTCCCACCACTGTGTCTTGGAGCTGCTGATTGGGCACACACAAACACTTGCGGGGCATTCTGTCCTCACCTGCCTGGGCTCTCACACTATTGTACCTGGCCCCGTGGCCTTGGGCATGCAGCAGAGTGCCCAGGATGCCCTCAAGGGGTGCTAAAGTCCACCGGAAGGGGCAGGCATTCTTTCTGTTTGGATTCTGGCCAGGAGAGAGCCCTGAGGCCTAGTCTAACAAGGTCTCTTTCAGGGTCTGCTGTGGTCTTTCCTTGGGCAGGGCACAGTCCCCACCCCCTCCCCAGGCCTGACCTGGGCAGAGCCAGCTCCACCACCATGTCTGCTGACTCACTCCCGAAATCCTGTGCCGGCAGTGGAATGGGCTGTCTTCTGCGGAGCTCATAGGCTCCAGGCTGCCCAGGGGCTGCTGTGCCTCCAAACACTCAGCTGCAGACACCGCACAAACTGGCCCACATAGCACATACTCAGCTGCTCCCTTGCTCAAGCACTGTAATCTGTGTTTGCATGCTTTCTGAGGGCTGCTTCAACCCTATGCCTTAATATCCCAGGAATGGGCCACACAGTCCCTCATTAATCCCCCTTTTCCTTTCAGCTCTTCCCTGGTTCTCCCTGGAGATCCTCTATCTTGCTTCTGCCTGCCAGGGCCTTGATCTTTGCTGCCTCATCTGGCCTCAAACTTCCTACAGGAGCCCCCTCTCTCTGCCCTCTCCTCCTTGCTGAGAGAAATCTGTAGCAGTCCAGTGCAGAGGAACACAGGGTCATGCCCTGCCACACGTTGTGGCTTTATTTGCAATCAAAGCTTCCGCAGAAAAGAAATCCACTCCACCAGTGTAAGCAGGCAGGGATTTGTTCCAGGGTGTTAAGTGGCTCTCAGAGCCATTAGCAGGATGAAAGCAGACTCTCGCCTGCCTTCCAGGGCTACGCAGCCACTGGGAAGTGTATTTGGCTGCTGGTCCTACCTGCTCAGAAGCCTGCCTGAGGTCAAAGCTGTCCTCACCTCTTCTCTCCCATGCCTCCATTCCAGGCCAGGTTTTGTAGAGTATGTCTGATTCGGAGCCTGAGCTGGGTCCAGCCTGGTCTCGAGTTCCTCTTCATGGCATCTGCTATCTGGAAGAGCACCTAAAAGGAGAATGAGAGTGAGCCCAGGCACGGCACCCGTAGCCAGTCCGCAGCCCAAAGGCTTGCAGCAGTCTTGAGGAGGTTATTCTACTTTATCAATTAAGCAGGAGACTTTTGGTTAAAAACAAAAGCTTTAACGCCCCCCAGGCCCATCTCCCCAGCTCTGTGGTAACTCTTGGGAACTAACCATTTGAACTCATGGTAGAGCCCTCGCCTGGAGCCACAGGTCTGACAGAATGAGGCTGGGTTTCCTTAGAGTCTCACTTCCAAATGCCATCATTGTTTGACCTATTTGGAGGCTCCCAGGGAGTACCCACTTTGGAGACAGTTTGAATTGGACTTGATTCACAATTCACCCTGCCAGAAAACCTGATGCTACAGTTGCCTACCGTAGTAGCTAACAGTTGTGGCACATAATAGACGAACCCCCAACCCCAAAACTAAGAGGA